CCTCCCTGGATGGAAAACAAATTAGTCCATCAAATTAGATCATAAACTCTGAAAACTTAAAAAAATAGTAATAGTCATTTTATTCCACTTTATGGTAGTGAAGGGTATGTAGAATGACATCAAAAAAGTAACTCGAAAGAAGTGATGCTAAAATAAGTGGCAAAGTTACAAGTTCTTCCGCTTTTTTACTGCTCATGAAAATTTAAAAATTGTATGTAAATTTTATATTGTAGGCAATTAAATTACCTACAATAAAGGTACTTAAAGTCATATTTCATCAATTTGTTAACTGTAAAATAAAGATCAAAAGCAGAAAAATTTATTTTCGAAAATTGAGCATTATTATTGCAAAAACTTATAGATGTTGATGAAATTTATGGAAAAGATGGATAATCCAATGATCAAGGTACTCCAAGTAGTTGTTAATTAATTTCCTTGTTTTTTTTGCAAATAATTATTTAATTATTAAATGTTAATTTTAAGAGTTAATATCGTAGACATATGTTCTAATTGATCCAAATAAATGTATCATCGAAAAAGAAAAATTTTAAAAAGTTGAAATTAAGTTGCTCTTTACAACTAACAAAATAAGATGTGGAAAACAGTGTTATAAACAAATTGACCCAGTGTTAGGCAAAAGCCGCTCGGGAATTCGCTCTTTTTGCATTAGACAGAGCTTATTTTATGGTAATTAATAAAAATAAATGATCTACGCCTCCTTGTATACACGATAGCCTCTTTATAACGTTATTTGTTGATTAACTATTGGACGTATAGGATCGGGATTTTAGAGACAATTTAAAAAAGGGTTAAACTTTTATTTTCAAAAAGTTTTATATTGATACTGTATGTAATAAATATCCTAGCAGTTGTAAAAGTTAACGTTAATTAGTGACCGTTAGTTAGTTTGTTAGTTCATTAACAATTAACGTTATATCTTGGAAACAAAGAGGGGCAAGTAATTTCTTTTTTTTTAAATTACCCTAAGCTCTAATGCAAAAAGAGCAAATTCCCAAGCGGCTTTTGCATGATCCTGGGACAATTTGCTTATAAAGCTGTTTTTACACATCCTACTTTGTTAATTGTAAAGAGCAACATAAATTCAACTTTTTGAAATTTTTCTTTTTCGATACGTTTCTTTGGATCGATTAGAATAAATGTATACGATATTAATTCCTAAAATTAACGTTTAAGAATTAAATAATTAGCTGCAAAAAATGAACGAAATTGATTAACAAATACCTGGAACAACAATTTCACGGTCAATCGAATTGACGCACATGCTATTGATTATACCCAAAAAAATAGGGTTAAAAGGAACTATGACCTTCAAGCAATTTTAATACATGAATCGTTCAAAGGGTCATTTTAGATGAAAAAACCACGGAGTGCTATTAAATTAGAGGGTGGAAATTAGAGATAGGGGTGAAAATGCACCCCATTCAGTTTTTTAATTGTAGCTCGAAAAAGAAGCAAAATTTCGCTATAATTCATAGGAACAATTATTTAGAGAATTGAATTTGTCATCGAAAAGGCTTATTTAAAAGATTTAAAAGGAAAATTTTATGCAAAAAATCGTTAATAAACAATTTGAAAAAAAAAGCAGAAAATTAGATTTTTTTATTTATTTTTTTTTTTACTGTTTTGCCTTTACTTTTTTTTTTAAGTAAAGATAGGCATAGGCATTGCTCCATAGAAAAAAAGGAGATAAAATTTCTTTCAAAATAAGAGGTTGTAAAGTATTTTTGGATGAAAATTGACTAATATACAGGGTGATTCAGTCATAATGTCATTAATTTTAACCAAGTATTCGGAAGGCTTAATAAAGACAGAAAATCGGAAAAAAAAAATTTTATTCGACTTTTAAAATGAAGGAAATCAACCCATAACTCCCGCTAAGAGGGCGGCCCTGCCAGATGCTATAACCGTTCAAATTTTTTTCGATTTTCGTCGCGTTTACCTTTATCTGTTTTAATTCTCATTTTTTGCAAAAAAGGAAGGAAATAAGGCATTCAAGGGTTTTCATCACATGACTTGTTCGAAGGGTCATTAAAAATTAAAAAACCGCGGGGTGCTATTAAATTAGAGGGTTGAAATTGAAGATAGGGGTAAAAATGCATTTTTGCAGTTTTTTAAATATAGCACGAAAACGAAGCAAAATTTCGGTATAGTTCATAGGAAAATTTTTGTAGAGAATTGAATTTCCAACCGAAACGGCTTATTTAAAAAATTTAAAAGAAAAATTTTATGCAAAAAATCGTTAATAAACAATTTAAAAAAGCAAACAAATAGATTTTTTGATTTTTTTTACTTTTTTTACTAATTTTTTTTAGTAGAAGTAGGTAAAGAAAATTGCTGTACAAAAAAACTAGATGAGATTCCCTTCAAAATGCTGCGTTTTCAAAAGTTTTTGGACTAATATTGACTGAGTATAACCGGTCAAACTTAATTTTTTAGATTTTCGTCGTTTTTAACATAATAATGATTATAATTCTTATTATTTTAGGCCGGTCAAAATCGACAATAAATTCGCAAAACATGATGTATCTCTGATTTTTTAGTATGTTGTTTGGACCTATTAGGGCTATGTATACCCAAGTTTGCAACTTTCAAAAAGTTGTGGAAACATTTTTACACACCAAAAACCGCGAAATTTTTAGACTTGTTTCACATTCTGCTCTATATCTCCTAATCCATGCATTTTTCGTCGAAAGCTACTCTATACGTTTTTTAAGAGCATCAAATTTGTGACAAATTAGGTCCAACCGGAACTCTGTAGGTCAATTGGTTACCGAATTACGGCACTTTGAAAATAGGCCAGTTTTTCCAAAAATTGAAAATTTTAGTTTTAGACCTTCTTTGGACCGAAATTGCGTCGAAACCATTGATCCTACGAGTAGAACTTGTCGAATATAATTAGTAGGCAATTTCATTACCTTTAAATTAAGCGTAGAGCGGGATCTGTAAGCCTCGTAGTTCTCTCAAAATCGCAAAAAACCCATATAAGGTAAAATCACATTTTTCCAGAAATGTTCCATAACCTTTCATATCTTTTGTTTTTTTGGTTTGATAATGGAAAAGAAGGCATGAAATCATTTAAAAAAACGGTGAAATGTATTTTAATATAAACATAAGTAATCAAAAGTACAGTAACTTAATCAATTAATCAGTCAATCAAATTAGACACATAGTCAAATTCGTCGCCTAGTTTTTGATGGCCCTGGGCCGTCACTTTCGTTGCTCTCTTCAAGAGGTATGTCTTCCACTATTTGTGGGTCGCCGTCTTCGTCCTCTATAGGTAGGTACTCTAGTATTGGTGGATCGTCAGGGTTTTCTTGAGGCTCGTCATCGTCGTCCTCTTCAATGATGATAAAGGCAGCGTTCTGGCACGTTTCCCCAGAGCAGATAGCACACATCACAGAACATCTGAGCCCTGCTTTCAGGCAAGTGCAGCCACCTCTGCACCCCTTCTTGCATTTGCAAGAGAGGAGTTTTAGGAGGTCTGCGGCGGCAGGAGCTTGAGTAATGGGGATGAGTCCAGCCGAGATCAATTCCCAACCCCAGTCGATGGCCTCTTTCTCCACCCCCAACCACTTTTGCACCTGGTGGTATGTGCGGTACATCGTTGAGGGTGTCTTACGTTTCGTCTTCTCCATATAGGGCAACTAGGCACTTGTCACCGGCTGCTGCGACTTGTTGGTGTGTGGCATCTGTCTGGAGGAAAACTCTTGCTTGGTCCACTAGGTCTTGATTTTGTCTGAAATGGCTTCCGTACTTTTGTGAAGACAGCAGCCAACGCCAAAGCGAATCTGGCCCGTTTGCCCCCAATTACAGAGGCTACGTCGTATCACAACTACCGCACATACCACCAGGTGCAAAAGTGGTTGGTCACAAATTTGATGCTCTTAAAAATGGTATAGAGTAGCTTTCGACGAAAAATGCATGGATTGGGAGATATAGAGCAGAATCTGAAACAAGTTAAAAAATTTCGCGGTTTTTGGTGTGTAAAAATTTTTCCACAACTTTTTGAGAGTTGCAAATTTGGGTATACATAGCCCTAATGGGTCCAAACAACATCCTACTAAAATTGTTTTGCGAATTTAGCGATTTTTTGTGTCGATTTTGACCGGCCTATTTTTACAACAGATTGGTTCTTTACTTAATAAAAAAATATTTCAAAAGTTTTATTTCTTAATAATAAACAAAGATTTTCACAACTTCGAGTCATTCCTTCACAGTCATAAAATGCAGTAAAATGTCTATTAATAATTTTTTACGTTTAAATTCTAATTCGATTGGATTAAAAGACAGATGCATTTGTATAAATGTTTATAAACAATTTTTAAACAGTTTTTATATATTTTTTGTGTTTGCGGATAACAGTACATGTATATCTGGACTAGGTTTATGGTTAGTTGCCAATAAATTGATAAAATTATGGTCAATGCGTAAATTTACTAAACTATATTTGTGGAATCTATCATGTTTGTAGTTTTGGATGAGATTGTCAAATAATCACAGAGACATGACAAATGTATCTGTCAAATAACGTTTTATATTCTAGACATGTACAAAATAAAACAGCGCCAACAGAAATGTGTTATATGATCGTGATCTATGAAATATTCAGTTATGTTTTATTCGTTTGTAATAAAACATGTTTTTAAATCTACTGTCTGACATCAAAATACGTCTGGATAATGCAATGTTCCTTAAGTGGGCGTATATTTGCAATTTCTGTCACTGTCAAACTAAAATAGTTTTATTTTTACAATACCGGAAATTTTTGCATGGAATACCTACGTAGTTTTGATTTGACTACCAAATTTTAAATCACAAATATAGTTTACGCACTTGAAAACATGAAAAAGAAACAGCAACAGTTTAAGAGCATGTGTATGTACGTTTTAAATTCATTTAAAATCGTGAAAACTAAATCGGGTCCGCTTAACATATTTTCAGTACATTTAAATACCCAGGGAGCTTTTCAATTCACTTACGTAAAAGTTAAAGTAGACAAGACATTTGCCCTCTGCACGGGATTCGGCTTCTTCGTGCATTTCGTCGATGTATCCATAATAAATATTATATCACAAAGATTAAGTACATACACTAAAACGTGTAACAAACAGTTATGTAGAGTCGCACACACGCCACTCGACCGCCACGAACCGAGCCTCTTAACTGACGTTTCGTGTCGGTTTCTCTCGTTAGAAAAGCACAATCAGCTGTTGGCTCCAATGGAACCCAAGGATCCCAGATATATTCGCGGAAAACCTTGCCTCGGTCGGCTATTCATAGAATAAATCGATTCTCTCCAAGCGCAAATCTTTATTTCGCTGTTGTTTTCACTATAATAATTAATTATAATAATCCGTATATTTCACCAAACTTATATCTGTCTCATATCGCTCTCTGCAATTGTGTATAAAAATCGATAGCGCTGCTTCGTGTGGATACAGAAGGGGGTTTTTATAGTTTTCCTTCGTATTTGTACTTAGATTATGTATATCACATTATTGCGCAATCTTTTGTACATGTATACAGAGTGGTCACTACAGAAGTAGACCATCTGTTCTTCTGTTCCCTTTTCCAGAAAGATAGATTTACCTATTGTGTATTTAATATCTTATTGAGAACGAGATATGCGGTTTTTTTATATATCACATTATTGCGCAATATTTGTACATGTATACAGAGTGGTCACTACAGTATTAGCCCACCACCTGTTCCCTTTTTCACTAAGATGGAGTTATTGTGTATTTAATATCTTACTGAGAACGAGATATGCGGTTTTTTTATCGCTAATAGGCTGTGAAAAGTTCTTTATCAATTATTTGAAAGAAAACCAGCTGCTACCAATTTGCAATTAAGTGGACAATTTTTATTTTTTTAATTAGACAAAATTGTCTCTCAATATTTACTTGGTCGGTACTTCTGAACTTCATGATGAAATTGACGATAGTGAATAGCTTCTTGAAGTCATTTAACAACAGGTGTGTGCATTTAAATATGATTCTTTTCGAGGTAAGATATGAGTGTAATTTTAAAAATTGGACCTTACAACAAGCACCCCTCTCATAGTGAATTTTATCTGTACTCATAATTAACGGGATAAATTCCGTTGTAACTTTGCATCTACTTTATACAGGGTGTTTCAGAAAGACCTCCCGTAAATTCAGGGGGTGATAGTCCGACAAAAAAATAAGAATTTTTTTGTCTTATGAGCTATATGTCTACCTCCTCTTGTTTTCGAGATACAGAGCGACAAAATAAAATTTTTTAAATAGAATTTTTACGAAAATTTCCAAACGGCGCTAAATATTTTTATGAAATTTGGTATTGCGGGGTTTTTAAGGACGACAAATACGCTGGTCTAATTATTTTTTGGATAATTCATAGAGGACACTAGTTAATAGTTATGCTACATTCTTATTACATTTTAAGTTCTAATTTTTTTAAGGTTAGGTTTTTTGCCATTCGGGTTCCAATTTATAATGTACAATTTTATTTTCTAAAAATAATGTACTCTTGTTAGAACTTCCCAATCTGGACGGTTTTCGAGAAAAAATGCTTTTAATTGAACTCTTACAATATTACGGTGTAGAAAATAAGTGACTTTTCTCAGAGTAGGCTTATGTCAAAAGTTATTGATGGATGTCTCATAAACAACACATACATTCTCAGTAATATTTTAAACTCTAATTAACTTTATATCAAATCTTTAGTGATTGTTAGTGACTGTAGTTAGTAATGACTAATCACTCTATAAAATATACAAAAAATAATTAATCCAGCGTATTTGGCTTCCTTAAAAACCCCGGAATGCCAAATTTCATAAAAATATTTCGCACCGTTTGGAAATTTTCGTAAAAATTTATTTAAAAAATTTTATTTTGTCGCTCTGTATTTCGAAAACAAGAGGAGATAGACATTTAGTTCATAAGACAAAAAATTCTTATTTTTTGTCGTACTATCACCCCCTGAATTTACGGGAGGTCTTTCTGAAACACCCTGTATATAATTTTCTGCACTTAATTTTAATGTAATTTTGCAATTTATCAGTCATTTTTCACTGGTGATAGCTGCTATTACATTAAGGAGGTTTATTTGATTTGGAATTGACGAACAAATATTCATAAAAAAATTAATATAAGCTTATTAATATGAAGAAAATCCTCAAAAAAAATTATGACTAGTTTGGATACCTAAGAGACGAGATATTAATAAAATAATTTTTCACGATTTAGTAGAATCTGAATCTGCGTATTATTTGAAATTCGCAGGTGTGATATGTGGTGTATATTTCAACCTTAGGCATCCAAACAAAGCCAGCCAAGTGCAACGTTGCCAAATGTAAAGGCTTACTACTTTAGTCACTAGCGAATGTACAGAAACTCTCGTTAGACTTAGACTCACCTCCGTACCCGATAAACCTCCTTAACATACATTTTTCTGCATTTAAGTTTAATACAGTGTCATTGTAATTTTATACAGACGACTACTGCGATGTCCTTTTGGATGATTTAGTAAATTTTCGAGTATTTTAATTTTTTTGGGCAAGAAATTAATGTAATTTCTTTGTAATTTTACATGGACAACATTAATTAATAAAGGAGGTGGGTCAATAAGGCCGGCAATAAACATGGAACATGTTTTTTGCCGGCCTAAATCAACAATATTAATTTAATTTTAGGCAAAACGGATTCAACCTCTCCATCCAAACCTCTTGATAACGTAATAAAACCATGTTTCTTACATCTGATGCACAGAGTCATAAGAATAACATTTTTAGTGTACAAATTAAGTGAAATATATACTTGCTTATAGTCGTAAAAAACACTTTTACCTCTTCCACCCTTTTCCCCTTCTATGTAACCCCTGAAAGATACTGAAGAATGTCAAAGAGATTTCACAAAAACATTTGTCTGTCAGTCTAATACAAATAATTTTGTAATGTTTCTTGTTTAAGGGTTTAAGTATACTATTACAGTTAATTTCTAATATTTTTTGTTATAGTCTAGTAGAATATTATTTTTCTAAACCTTTAAATAAATGTTTTTACATGATGGAGAATTTCTTTTATATTCAATTCTTTACTAGTATTTTTTAGAGGTTATGGAGTTGAGGGGGAGGGGGTGTAGAGGGGAAAAAGTAAGAGTTTACTTTTATGATAATAAACAAATGTTTTTACTTAAATTGTGCCCGAAAAATATTATTCATATGATTCTGTACATCAGGTGTAAGAAAAATGGTGTCATTACATTTTTCAATATTTTTTATCATCATATGATTACAATAATATCCGTACGTTTTCCATTACTTAATTTTGTTGTAATTTCTCTGTAATTTTACACCAACTTTGCTGCGATCCCCCTTTAGAGTACTGGTAAATTTGCTAGTACAGACTTAAGCAAACATACAATAATTTACTGATGTTTTGAAATACATGTTTCTGCAGCTAAGTGTAATGTAATTTCTCTAAAATTTATACTTACCAATGCTGTGATCCCCTTTTGGATAACGACTTCTTAGATTTGTAAAAATCTACCTCAAACAGAAACTTCCACTGAGGTGGAAAGTAACTTTGTAGAATATCTTTACGGTTATTTTACAATGGTTAATTTAATTTTAAATGTACAGAATTCCCTTTTTATCTCATTAAAATGTAAGGTTTCTTATTAACTCAAAGAATAACTAAAGTAAACTACTGAATCAAACGTGGTCGTACAAAAAAAAATAACTGAGGTTATACGAGTATTACTCCTTTAATATGAATTCATTAATCAACTAGGCATCTATCCCACGTTACGTGAATTTTGTCTATTTCTAAAACGTAATCTTTTGCTTTAAATTTGTTTAATAATTATTTCAAATACGTCATCTAGTGTCATGAGGCAAGACACACTATGTAAATAAGACTGAACATTTTTGGGACAAAAAAAAGTTGGTATTGGCATCTAGACTTAGTTTACCCCGTACCAATAATCATGACAAATGGAAAATAATAATCGTTCAACACGACCTCCCTGTTTTTCTATATTTAATTTTTTATTTCGAATAGAATTATGGGAAAAATTTCAACGAGACCACAAAATTGTATAAGTAAATCAGTACAATATTGCACAACCGAACTCTGAAACAAATTCTTAATTTTGCAGCTAATTCTTAAGAACTTATTATTGGATTAATTAATAGAAATGTCAACTAGTGCGACTAATTGTTCCAAGAAGTGAAACCGATTGAGATCTAAATACTGTCTTTGCGGTTGTTGTCCAATTTGTTACATACAAAATATATTGTTGTAACAATCCGTGCAGCCTCAATTCATGAGAATCTTGAAATCCTACCCAGAACTAAACGCTAAACAAATTCATAGATTACATGAGTCTACACTCTACAGGTGTCCTAATTTCTTAGTGATTACTTTATTGTTACCAATGCCAGCCATTTTTAATTACATGTTCAACATACATAAGTATATAATCTACTTAAGCGTATTTTGCTTAACCTTAAACAAATATTTTTTTGCTTAACTTTAACAAATATTGTATGAGTGGTGCAATATTTAATATACTACCTTTCCAGTAGTTATTCAGTATTATATTAATAGATGAATTTGTACATCCCTAATAGCCACAATGTTTTTGAATAAATACAAGACTCCCAATAACTGCTGATTTTGATTTACACCACGACTATAGTTTAGTAGTAGCAGTAGCTAGTTTTATCCCAAATAAGAATCACACTTGACAAAAACTAATCAACCATCCAAATACAGCCTAGTTGCAGCTAGTGACATTGAGAATAGGTGAAACATATTCATTGATTGACTAAAACGAAAGAAAAGCGCCGCAGGCGAATATTTTCAAGGTCAGCCGGCTTTAAATGAATCTGGAAATTTTTAGTTGTATTTGCAATATTACCGAAAAATTGACATTCGCGAGAAGGATTTTCATTTAGATTTTATAAAAAATATAAACACCATTAAACACGCCATCCAGAAAAGTTTTTTTAAATAAATACTTCTACTCAACTACTTATACATACTCCGAATACCATTCATTCCGAAACTTCCGAACGTAGGTACACTTTGTCTTTTGACTTTCTCCTTTTTTTCCACATCGAGAGAATATCGCAATTTAAAAAATCCTTTTTGTCCTCAATTTTCCATCTGGAAAATGGCGTTTCCAATAGAATACAGAAAAAAAAATTGTACAATAGTTCAATATAACTAGTATAGTTAAATTGAAAGACGCAAGCTAATAAAACTGTAATTATTGGAAAACTAATATGTGTCATCTGTCATACATGTTTTATTTTACATGACATGAGCCACCTATGACTGAATTTTTTAATAGTATTTGATAAAATACGATTCGTCTCTGCCCATTATAAGATTTACCATTGTACAATTTTTTTTTGTGTCGATAATTATAACAATATTTTAAAAGAATATTTTGTCTCAGTATGATTTAAATAAAATAATAGATTTTTCTGTTACATCATACCTTGCATACTGAAGTCGACATATCTTGAAAAAAAGTAAATATTGGGAAAAACTTTATATTACAAAAAATACTCAAAATTTAACGATCTTTCAGTTGGACCGCACTTCCACGTTCCAGGAATCACAAAAATTTTTAGTATGCCACGCCATCTATACAGAAAAATTTGAACTAACTGCAATTTGAAGCTATTCGAGCGATCTAACAACCCCAGTTTCCGGAACTAAGATTTTTTTCATTTTGGAGATGTTGAAAGCGGAGTGTTAAAATACAAGAAATGCGAAAATTAGATAAACAAAAAACATTCTTATTTGTCATGTCAAAAACCATAGTAGTGCCAATTTTTTTGTTTATACTCTGACAGTTTTCAAAATCATCGAGTAATTTCAATATAAAATTCAAACATTGAACGCCCTGTATCTTTGAAACCAGCAACATTTGCATAAGGCATATTATAAGGCTCAATCGACTTATTTTGGCCACCAGTATCTCCAGCTTTTGCAGACACCCTGTATATGTTTCTTAAATGAAACTCGACATACGTATAATACCTAATAATTTCTAAATGATGTTTTAAGAAGAATTAAAATCTCGTAAGAAATTGTCGTTAGTAATTTAATTTGTATAGTTTAAATTTCTATGTTTAGTGATTAACAATTAACTTAAAAGTTATGTGTGGAACCCATAAAACACATTATTTGTTTATAAACTGAAATTACTAGGGTTGTAGAACTCTGCACTGACGATGATTGAAATATTGTGAAATGTTTCCCATGATCTTACATCATCACGAAAGCCAGAGTAATCGTTTATAAACAAATTGTAGTACCCATTATTACACGAAACAGTATCGTGTTAATCTTATTTGTTTTCAAGTGCTGGCAATGTTTTTTCAGGTATTTGGAAAAGTAATCAGAGGACGATTCTTATATTTACATTTTGTCTCTGACTTGGACAGGCTTGACAAATATGTACAGAGTTTCAGAATGTAGTATTAGATTGAATTAAGGCACTTCGCAAAGATATCAAAATAAAGTAGTTTAATGGTATGGGCCTGTACATTGTTAATTATGCGATAAAATAATGGAGTAGAAAAATGAGATTTATGTGGGAAAACTAGTTTGTTGGGGTCGATTAAATAATTTCCCACTAAACATTTTTCAGTTTCTGACATGTTTCAGAAACGTTTCCATTTTTCTTGAAACGTTTCATAAAAAATCCATGCAACCTTCTGGTAACGTTCTAGAAGCCCAAGATGTCCTCCCCAAAATACGTTTCCAATGAAACGTTTCAAAAAATTGGTTTCAGTAACATTCTTTTTATGTTCCATTTATGCCCTCGATATTTTTGTTTTACGTTTCAGTATATTTTCAGAAATGTTTGAGTAACATAATAATTTTATTACCATATTGTTCTCATAATGCTCTCAACTTTAGATCATTTTCATTTCAAAAGCGTTTTTGAAATAGTATAAATAGTGTGAGTATTTTTTTAAATATCTCTAATACTCCTTTGTGATATTTTTATTTGTATTGTGAATGACTTAATTCGAACTAAAAAAAGTTACATTGTATATTAAAAAAAATAAATATGCTCTTCTAGTTTGGGGATGCGGCAACTTTTACTAAGAATTTCTTTCTTTTTGAGAAGCCACTGAAAAAAGTTTCTAATATGGATTATGAATTTTGCCATTCATCGTACAAATAAAAATATCACAAAACAATATCAGAAGCATTAAAAAAAACTACACATTTTATATTGTTCAAATACGCTTCTGAAATGGAAATTTTCTAATGTTGAGACCATCATGAATATGGTAACAATGACGAACTGATAATTAGAAAAAGTTAGTTATGATTATGAATCTTGAAATGGTAGGTACATGAAAAACAAATAACATTACTGAAAAATAATATAAAGTTATAATTTCTTCTACGCATGGTCAATATTACATATATCCTTTTAATAATAATAAATTATACAGCAGAAATAAGGATACAAAATGATATCTTGACAAAGTAAATATCTGTAGGTATACCTAAACTCTTTTATTTAAGCATGCCTATACACATAAACAAATATAAACATTTGTACAAAATATAAAATAAATGACGTCTATTTCACTTGATTCATCCATATTTCAAATAGTTCTCACTGACTAAGTAGTTGCTCTTCAAATTATATCGAAACGTATAGTTGTTGTTCCATTTTCTTAGTTCTTGTCCCTTGTCCTCTTGTCTGTAATAGGTAGTGGGTATAACTATATTTAGGTAGATGTGACGCAAAATTGGAAATCTCTACACATATCGTTTTAAACATTTTGCATCAATATTCATTATTTTATATGCACCTTACAATAACCACAACTGCACACACTACAAATTATCACATAAAATAGCGTCAAAGTAAAGATGAATAACAACGAAACCAAGCAAACTGACAAACCGCAAACCTAACCTAACATAATACGAATTGAAACGACACACGGGAAACAAATAAACTCGGGCTGTTACGCGCAGTCTACGCAAGTCACGAACATACATTTTTTCTAGACGTGTTATAAATATGCTACCACATTTTTTTTTTCTAATTATGTGTATATAACAAAGGCAAATGAACTAACGCTTGAGAAGGATTGGGGATTGAGAGCAAAATTTAACTAATGCCGATTGTTCCATAAGATAAGCAAAAATAGCAAAGGGTTGTTCGTCTGTTATGTTTCCGAGATCGAAAGGTAATGTTTCGAGTAATGTTTCAAACTCTCTCCAATTGTAACGTTTCGGCTATGTTTCACTAAATAAGTTTTCAAGTGCTACATTTCTGTAATGAAACAGAAACGTTTCTAGTTAATGTGTCAAATGTTTAGTAAAACATCTCATTTGCAACGTTTCATTTACGTTTCGTGTTTAGTGGGGAGTTTCAGAATATTGTATTAGATTGAATTAAGGCACTTCGCAAAGATATCAAAATAAAGTAGTTTAATGGTATGGGCCTGTACATTTTTAATTATGCGATAAAATAATGGAGTAGAAAAATGAGATTTATGTGGGAAAACTAGTTTGTTGGGGTCGATAAATAATTTATTTCTATTTGACGTTAATAACTCGTTCAGTTGAACGAAATACTGAATATTATACGACTTGTAGTTATTTTAAAAATTTTTAGAATTTTGAATTTACGCCAAAATATATGTATAGCCTCTGGAACTTTACTAAAACTAAACTAACTTGAATGAGACTTTTTTTAATATGTTGGGAGAATTACACAGATTAAGAATCCCTAAGCACAAATTCATTTGGTTACGAACGTTATTCACTTTTAATGATTTTTTGTATATTTTAATGAAAATAGCAGTTTTTCTGGTTTCCAGTGTAAATCTCCTTTGATCTTTTAAAATAGAGTTTGATACTGTTACAATATGAAGAGGAAAATTAATAACAATATTAGGTCTTTTTTTCTAGGATGGGCACCTAGCTTTCTGAGGTGGACCATGCACACCCCTGCCCCCCCCTAGTATTTGCGCTAGGAAAAAAATTCTCTTGTTCTTGTACCAGTCACAAAAAAATGTAGCATGTCCAAAAAAAAAACATTGACTGTTCCCTACAGCTATGCCGTAAAAAAAAAACGTTCAATTCAACCTGAAAATTCGTAGTGATCGTAGTCTTTGAGCGTAAGAAAACATTTAATTATTATGCTTCAAAGAGGATAGGCTAACATATATACACCTGCGAGTTGAACGGGTTGCATACCTATTAATAGTTTCCACCTCGATGACAATAAATTGTTAACGAATGGATTTATGTATTAAAAATTCATAGTAACTAAATTGGATTTAAAATGTGGTTTGTCCCGTAGCTAAAGTAAATACTGCATATTTAATTATGAACAACTAAAAACTAAAACAAAAACTAAATCTTTTGCCCCTTTAAAATGAAGTTTTATAGCAAAAGCTAGCAGTAATGTTGCATGTTTAGTAGATTGTAAAGTAGCTGTATAATATTAATTTGAAGTTAATTCAACTTTTTAAAAATGTAAAAATATAATTTTTAATTGTAATTAATTTCTCTTAATCTGTCATTTCCTTCGTTTATTTATTTAACTTGTTTTCTTATTTCATATAGAAAGTAATTTCAGAGTTCTGTGTAACACTAGCAACAATGCATATCTGATATACGTTAAATCTACCTAATTTTTTTTTACTTTTTTATTTTTATTCTTTTCCCATAAAATGATTAGTTAGATGTTCTACACAGTAAACTATTATATACCATTTTAAAATCACCCTGTATCTGCATTTTGTAGGACTAGGAAATAAATGATCAAAATAGTTTTTTAACTGTTTAATTGAAACACTGAAAGAGATGCAAAATTAACTTGAAAAATACAAGTACATTAACATTAGATCCTTTATCTCGACAATGGCAAATAACTTTAATAACTAAGACCATATTTTTGCCACTGGAATAAATTTAGTCTAATCAAAATATACGGCATTCAGAAAGCAACTTCACACCCGCTTACATAAAGTCTGATACTACATAACCATAACACCACAAGATCTCATTCATAAGTCACCACCAGATTGGCTAACTTTTTCGTTCGTGCTTTGAGTAATAAGTACTGGCGTTCTTTAGTGTTTCAAATTTCTTCCTCTCCTCAAATAGTTGCGACTAATAGACTGAGGAACCTCGGCGGGTACCGCTGTGACGTCTTCCAAGTTGTTGCTTTCGCTAACGTCGACGACTTCTTCGCTACCGAAATTTCTGTTCAAGTCGTAGAATTTTGGAGATTCGGCGCAGTCTATGGCTTCGTCAGCTCTGGTGCAAGTGAACATTTCCTAAAAAGGTACGACGTTTTAGAATAAAACCCATATAAATTGTAGTGTGTTCACGATAGAGTTGTAAAAGGGGAAACCTTTTTGATTTATGAATTCAAAAAATCTTAACAAATAAATGAAGTCAAATAATAGAATGTATATTTTTTACAGAAATGCAGTAAAAAGTACAAATATCGGTTAGGTCTGTTTTCAAGAGTACAAAAATATTATGTTAATCGGACTAACATATACAGGGGACATCATTTTAAGGAATGTTTAGAAGAATAGTCATTAGTTTTAACCTTAGACCCATTAAGAACTGAAATGAACATCATCATTCAATGAATGAATTTTTATTTTTTTATCGTTCCAGTAAAGAAGATCAATTAGTAATTCAAAAAGGGATTCAAAATTTAATATCTAAAAATACCAGAAAGTCTAAAATAAGTGTGTGGAAACAGTTTGAGTACTACAGTTAAAAAACTTTCAATATTATGCTTTCAATAAAAAGTGGAGAAATTGTGAAAACTTAAAATTACAAAGAAAGTGTAATTAAAACAATGTTAAACTCCACAGCAAAGCAGTTACAGTTGTTACGATGTCAATTGGAACCTGTAAATCTTAAAGCACAGGACCGTATGCACTTCTCCTGAAATTTCTTCCGATGCTTTGACCATGATGTGTCTCGTAATTTATACTCGAATAGCAATTCGGCGAGTCTGGTATTGGTAAAGTAGTCCACCAGATGTAGAATTGACGGTGGCGCGCTGGTCATCAAAGCAAACCTGTATTGGTCCACTAGGTCGTAAATAATTTTTTTGTATGGTACACGGGTTCACGTAGCTTTGCCGCTTTGCCAGTGCAGTGCAGAGCATTGGTTGGCGGGGTATGTTGTTGGTATAATACGTATTATTATTTATTAGTTGATATTATTATTTGTTCATATCGTAACCAGTAAAGGGTAATAGTTATTAAAATAAATGTTATATGTAATTATCTAGTAATTTAGCGTGGCTCTTTGGAGACTCTTTGAAGCGGAGAATAACGAAATAACTCGGGAAAATGCCCAAATAGTGGAACCGGTCTTTGTCGAAAGTATCGAAACAAACTCAAAATTTAAAAACAAAGATTTACACGTAAAAAGTCAACGTATTATATTAAAGATATATGAATGTGTGAAAATTGAAAATAGTGAACAATGTGATAAAAAAGTTAGGAAATGGATTAACGAAGTAACTAAGATATCAAAAACGACAATTTATCCCGTAATTAAAGAAGGATTGATCATGGTACAAAGAGAAACGGAAAAATATAAAATTAAATAAAATTGACGATTTTACCAAATGTAATGTGGCGCACAATATATAATATGCATAAAGAAAATAAAGTTCTTACTTTAAACGTGATTTGAGATAAATTGAACGATTATCCTGATTACAATGCGATTTTAAACATAAAAAACTTGACAATCGTATGGTAATTATATGGTAATATAGCTCGGAATATAGTATATCTAGACGAGGCAGAGCTAATTTTTTCTGGACGTCTGGATGGATTCCGTAGAATTTCTGAGTTAAATGTTTTTATCCGGTTCCAACTGAGATTGTAACAACTTTACAAGAAATGTTGTATGGAAAATATAAAATAGATAGTAATTGGTTAACTACAAATTCGGACAATCCGAAAATTTCTGCACAAGAAATTGATCAAAAAAGTTTCGGCGATTTAATTTTGATACACCCTGTACACGCCTCGAGCGAACAACGCACTTACTTGATTGAAAACGGTGTCGTCAGGACAAATGAAGCTCCACCTGAAAGTCTGGTTGTGTCCATCGGGGTAGGTCACTGGCAAACACACGTGGAACAATTGACAGTCGTTCTCCACATCAGCGTAGTACCCATAGTCCCTCCCTTCGCAGTGAAACGAGTCGCTGATGTCCGTCCTAATGCTTGTGGCGTTACTGGGTAGGGTCAGTAGTTGCGGTCGGGGTAAATTTTGAGGATATATCTAAGTACATGAATAAAACGATATTGTACCGTTCTTTAGCACAAATTTTTATAATTAAATAATACGTTAATAAACACACATTTTTGTGTGAGACATTTGCTATTTTTGTTTAAAAAATATACAAAACTTTATGCCCAAACTCCTAATTTTCGAAAGTTGTAATTAATGGTAATTATTTACTATAGCGTAAAACTTTCAAAAATGAATACAGTTTTGCCTACCACCCTATGTAGTCCATTGAAATGAAGGCTGAACCTCCATTTTTTCCTCTGTCGATCAAACCTGGGCGCAAATATGTATTTGACCCTCAGGAATCCGAATCCGCAAAAATTTTTGACCTAGGTGGTCAGGAAAGGGGTCAAAAGGTCAAAAAACCGTAAAAAATAAGGTTTTTCGCAAATATCTCGTAAACTACGGCAAGTAGCAAAAAAATAATTGCACCATCGTGTTCCCAGGGAAATTTTACATCGATTTTATGCTATTGCTTATTAAAATTAAATAAATTTATATCATGTTTTGGACAATTACTAAGCAAGAGAGGGGAAGTGTATATCTCCGGCGGTGAAACGTATTTGGGGAGTAGTAGAGCGCGCACGCTACATGTATCGGCTGACTCGCAGTTGACAGCTCTAGCAGGTGTGCCTCTTTGGAATATAATGCGATTTCAAATATAATTAGCCTGCAGTTGTAGTGGATTTTTTTTGCCACTTTAATTTTTAAATGGAAAACCAAAAATATTACTAATGATTAATGAATGAACAGAAAAAAAATTTTTAGAATGAAATACTTATTGCAAAAATGAAATATACAGGGTGTCCCGAAATTAGGGGGTAATATTTCTACAGGGTGTTCTGTGTCGAAAAAGATTACTTTTTCTTTATATAAACGTGGGTCCAAAAATTCTTCCTAAATTTACCATAACTTTTTTGTGCGTTGACTTTTTTTAACTTTTGAAAAGTATGAAATTTCATGATTTTTTATTAAAAAAAGGTACTCTTGGTTCATATTGGTAGAATGTTCCATTTTTGTGTAAAATCCGTTTAAAAATAATGTTATATGTGTTAATCATCGGGAATTGAAATTGTCAATATCGCAGATTTTGAATAACAAATATGCGTTTGACGTTATTTGCATTGACAGTTCAGTTATTTAGTTTTTGTGAATTGTTATCTTCATAAAAATTCTCGAATCTTTAGTAAATGATTATTTGACAAAGTAAAAAAAAAAAAATTATTTGCAGCCAAATAAATGAATCCTCTGTTGTAATTCTTCCAAATGATTTATTTCTGTAGCATAAACTACAGCCTTCAACCTACCCCACAGAAAGTAATCTAGAGGATATAGGTCTAGAGACCGAGGTGGCCATGGAATGGGACCATCTCTACCTATCCACTTGAAAGGAAAATTACCGTTTAACCAATTTATGACATTATGGGTAAAGAGAGGTTGTTGATAGTGTAATGTTAAGCGTACTTTTAACGGTGTATCATCCAATAGTTCTCTTACATCATTTTGCAGAAAGTTTAAGTATCCTTCTGTATTCAGACAAACGGGAAACTGGATTGGTCCAAGTAGCTAGGTCCCCTAAAATTCCTGTTCACAAATTTATTGCAAATCTATTTTGAAAATTTGTGCGCTGTATTGCCTGTATTTAATGGATTTTATACAAAAATGGAACATTCTACCAATATGAAACAAGAGTACCTTTTTTTACTAAAAAACTGAAATTTCATACTTTTCAGTCAAAAGTCAAAAAAGTCAACGCATAAAAAAGTTATGGTAAATTTTACCCCCCTCCCCCCCAGTGTTGGAACGTATGTGATGAAAATTTGTAAATTTCGTTTCAGTAGCGGACTGAACACGTAAGAGTTAAGCTAATTACCAAATTTTATAAATTTATCTCTACTGGTTTCGGAGTTATTTAGAAAAAACCATCATCAGATTGTCCCCTTTAATCGGCTATAACTTCCTTAGGAAGAATTTTTGGGCCCACATTTATATAAAGAAAAAGTATTATTTCTCGACATAGAACGCCCTGTAGAAATGTTGCCCCTAATTTCGGGACACCCTGTAGTTCTCTGAAAAATTGACTAGTAAAGCCAATTCTACAAATACTTGTTCATAAAAAAAGTAAAAATTTGTATAAACAATTCTTCACAGAATGACAACCTTTTATTTCTTAATTTTAAAGATAGTAAACTTTTGAGGAATTGAATAATGAATAAAATAAGCCTAGTAGTCCGGACGAATTAGGTTTTTTTTCAAAAATCGGGCCTACCTCGAATTTTATGGGCTTAAAATTAAGTAAGAAATACACAGAATAAAAGCCTAAATTTGTGTATTTACAGAGATCGAGAGTCATATTGTTTATTATAACAAAAGAAAATAAAACAATTGCTTTTTTTCAGTTTTTCGTTTATATCTCCGAAAATAAACCTTTAATCGATATGAAGTAAAAATAAATAAGTTATTAACAAAAAACTAAAAAAAACGGTAACTGGTTTGCGCCCAGGTTTGATCGACAGAGGAAAAAATGGAGGTTCAGCCTTCATTTCAATGGACTATATGAAGTTGCTCTAGTTTAGAGTTATGCTTCGTCGCTTCCTGAATGGAATTATTCTATCATTGTCTTACTAAAAGTGTGATTTCTTCTCTATAAAACGCGAACCCTAAATTCTAATCTGTACATCGCATACATTTGAATTCTTACGGTTTATGCATGTAATTAAAGATCTAATAATTCCAAAGAAACACATTTTCTGAAATTTGAAGGGAAAATATATTTATTTTAATATCATATTTATATTATTTTGGCACTACTTCCACTTTGTGACGTCATTCCGTCGTCCCTCGTTTGTTTTCCTCCGAAATAAGGTTACTAAGTACCGCAAATTTATTTCTACGGGCAACAGATCAATTTAAAATAATGTACTGGTAAAATGAAATAAAAATTTTGTCATTAAGTTATTTTTATAATTTTATGTAGCAAATGACTGAAAATTTTAACCCGACCAAATTTACCTTTATACAAACAAATAAAATTCTACATAATTAAAAGAGACCGATGTTATTTTGTTGAATGATAAAAGGTATGTTCAAAATTACTCTGGCTACTAAACAGATAGATATTTGAAACGTCAACAACTTTTTTTAATGGTGTTTTAGTATTTTGTATTTGTCTATTTTTTCAGTGTGAGATATTTGGTTAGGCAAAACTATTTTCATAAAAATAGTTCTTGACTGATTCTTTTGACGCAAAAGATTATTTAATTCTTTTTAATTTTTTTTTGTGGCAAAATATCCAACAAATAAAGAAAAAAGACAAAATGCCACAAAATGACAAAATGATTTTATAGTTAACTTTGTATAAGAAACACTTGATGTTTTATGATCATTGATTATTATATGGTTAAATATCATTAAAGTAGCAAAGATAGCAAAAAAAATAGTACAACTGCGTAGAAACTAAATTCTAGGTATTCTCTAAAATTTCAATCAAGATCGAGACTTTTTTCATTTGATAATTTTCAATATATTCACCTACATTTGAACTGATACCTGATGTTTTTAGGAAAAGGGGGATCTGTAAGTAGGTTTATAAAAACTTGATAATCAAAATTTAAATTAAGGCCGGCTGTTTATTTTTTTGATGTTTTGGGTAATTTATTTCAATATCTTTGTGTCTATAATCCTATATCAGCGTCCTAATCTTTGAACAAATTTCATGGTTGATAGGTATTTACCGAAAATTAAGAAATTATAATGATATCCATATTACGACTGTTACAACATTATTACAGAATACGAGATATTCAAATAACGAATTGTATACCTATTTATTTGTAACATTCGAGTGAAACACTTAAAAAAATTTTACCCACCCTTAATTTCGGAGCACAATTCACGAAATAAAACAGAACCGGAAAAACGAGAATCGATCGCATCTTATTTTTTAAACCACACACACACACAAATAAACCAGTGCTAGTTCCACAAAAACTTTAACTCTATATGTGACATCCAAAATGCCGTATTGTTTATATACGAAGGCTGGAGGAGAAGAAGGACCGAGCAGAAATATAAAGGATAGAACCAATGTCATGTCGGAAGCCCGGTATTATAAGAATATTTACCATGCCACCACAAATGGCATACAGACCACCGACTATCGGTACCATTGGTCAAATAAGCATTTGTGCCGTTTGAAATTATAATAGAATCTAATATATTGAAATTTATATATTTTAAGTTTTTTTTTTGGGTATTTCACCTCGTAAAATTAGCAAATAAACCTCTTGTTACAAGAACCAATCCGGGATTGCTTTATAATTAAGCTTTTGAAAATAAAAAGTTTTTCGTGTATTCAAAGATGTGCATTTTAATCACTGTTGTTTCTAATATTTGTCAAATTATATATTGCTGATTTCATTAAAGATGTATTGAATTATTAGCCAAACAATTTATTATATATAACAAACACATTGGGGATACTTAATTTTACTTTTTGTTATTAAACATGTTACATATATTTACAAGGTTTAGCTTTATGGAAGCAATCGAAACCGTGGTAAAAAAATATAAAGACAGTATAACTCTACATTTCAGTAATTTGACACCGATATTATTGCAAACTCTTAAATAATTTTTTTCGGATCTATTTGAAACGGTAAACTAAAATAAACATTTTTTTGGGTCATTTTTGCTCCCCTATTTGAATATGGAATCAGATTTTTATATCGACCAACCATCATCTGTTTCATTGTATTCCTTATTTTCTCCCTAGTACAAGTATAATAATATACAAAGCCAATCACGACATACTGTCGTAAAAACTTTATGAAATTGTTTTTTAAATAAATTAATACAATTATGTGCGTCATGTTTTAAAAATCGACAGGGTATGTCATCTGTGAGGCGCAGAATCTGCTAACGTTTTTACATTGTCAAGGTACCACAGGGGTCCAATTTGGGATCATTATTCTTTTCATGTATGGTAAATAGCTTGCCAGATGTGGATCGATATTCACACTGTCAGCTATTTGCAGATGATTTTAAAATTTTCAAAGAATTTTCTGATTATATTAATATTAGTAATAGACCAGGCGGTATCTGTTTTGGCTTGGGTGAATCGTATATCCATGGAGATTTTTGGCTTTTTGGCTTTCAAATATCACTAGAAATGAAAATTTTTCTATGCGCATAAAAAAAACGTGAGCTTAACTTTTGACTTTCATTTCTACTGATATTTGAAAGCCAAAAAGCCAAAAATCTCCGTGGATATACGATTCACCCAAATATGGCTCTTTGAAACAGATACCGTCTGGACTATAATAACATTTCGTATGTTGGTGTTTATAATAAGAAATTCATGTAACTTTCGTAAAGACAAAACATTGGTTTGATTATGTAATACTTATGTTAGAAGTATTTTAGAATTAGCATCTATTATTTGGTACCCCCATATGAATGGTATAAAAATCAAAGTGAACAAGTGCAAAAAATTATCAGTTATCCCTATTATAGAAATTATAATATTTATCACTATGGCATATCATTTGATATATTATTAAGTGAATTTAATTTTAGAAAATTATAATTTACGTTATATTCATCTGGGTTATTTGTATTCAAATTATTTGATGATAAAATTAACTGTTTGTTTCTGTCGAGTCAATTTAATATAGTATAGTGTATATTACCACACTAATCTAATTGAAATGTAAAAAAAAAACAACCTGGGTAAAAATGTACCTATGTATAGATTATTTGCAATTATAAATGATATGATATGTAGACATATTTCTTGATAAATTCTCCGTTTAAAAAAAAACTGAACACTATTTACGGTAATTTCAGATACTTACCTGATCTTTTCTTCCCCTTTTATCTGTATATTTCGATAAATAAATAATATGCTGACATTTGGGACTGCAAAACTCACTCATCGCCACTGTTAGTAGTGCTAAGCTATATGTATAAATATCAGTATTCCGAATCAGTGTCCGAATAAGATTTTTTGGATGCTGCTTTAATAATTGAATTATTAAAAAATTAACAAACTTTAACTAAACAAAGTTTTTATTAGAATAAGAGATATAAGTTAGAGAAAAAATATCGGTATGGGTACCAATACTTCTTGCAACTTTTGATTTAATTACGTTACATATTTTGCTAATTTATGCGAGCTTTTGGATATAAAATTGCAAAAAGTGAGTAATAATATATTTATTTTTTATTTAAAATAAAACCCAACCAGAGGTCCAAAATTTCTCTTTTCTCTTGAAAAAAATCGGTTCTTTTTCAGAAAAAACTGTTTTTCATACACGAATATACAGGGTGATTCATTAACAATGGGAAAATCGAAAACTGAAGATACCACACGTGAAATGGTGACCATTGGCGCAAACATGCCTTACCCGAAAGTTGATAGTTTCGGCAATACAGGGTGTTGAAAGTTAACATTTTATATTGTTTTTTTGCGATTATTCTAAAAATATATGTGTTAGGAACTTGAAAGTTTGTGAAACTATATTTTTTTAGGCGACGAATAAGATGCGTGTTGTAATTTCAGCATTGCTTATAGAGGGCGCCACTTACGACCAATTTTACCGAAAATTTAGTTAATAACTTTTTACACTGTATATTTAACATGAAACTTGATTCAAAACCTGAAAGAGCTATCATTTTTCCATTAATTATGTACTCTCGTTTCATTTCGGTATCTCGATCCGTTTTCGAGAAAAATCGATTGATCGATATCGATGTTTTGATAATACGAGAAATTAAAAGCGAAACAAATAGTACATCAAAAAACATTACGTCGTTTGTTGAATCGTTTTCCGTCAGTATAAAATTATGCATATATACAGTATATTAAGCATTTAAATACTATTGAAAATCACTTCTAGTTTCATAAATTTGGGAAATGGTCTTGGTGCATAGAAGCGTATTTAAATTTTGAGCAGTAGTTTGAAAGAATTGTATCATGAAAGGAACCATCTGTGTATAGTAGGATCATATTCGATGCAAAGTAATAAATAATTATCTGCCAAGGGAACCAATGAAGTACGCTTTTAAGGGTTTTACAAATTGAATAATTTCTTTATACATTATGAAGGGACGAGGGGATCAGTTCAGGTCTGGCACCCTTGTTCCTACAAAAATTCCTTTATTCTCATAAACTATTTATTTTAAATGTAATTTATTATAAATCCAATTTGTTTCATAAATTCCACATATGTACTACATTTTACCTCTGTACGCGCCACTGTTGTTTACTTGTTTTTTGGAAGCACTCTCTAATTGACGGCAAAGCTCGCCAGGTTAGTATTTGACGTATAACCGACCAGTTCGTACACTCGATGCACCTGGGCGACTACAGCTACTACCAGAACACAGTGCGTATGCAGCGGTATTTCGGATTTTACATTGAATTTCATTTTAAATTTGAAATGATTTATCTTACGCCTCCTAAAAATGATGACACGATTTTCCTTTGATAACAGACCGACAACTTTTTGCTCTACTTTGCATCGAATACGATCCTACTATAGCCCATCTACTACCAGAGGAGAAATACCTATACTAACAGCATGATTAAGCAAAATTAAATACAATTAAATTTTTGGGATCATTGTTCTATCCTTCCTTACCTTTATTTCCTATTGACAGTATTCACATTTTTTTTAATTTCGACCTATTTTGCAATAGAAAGTTGTTTACGTTATTTTATATAAAAATCTTTTGGTGTCAGTATACAGAATTTATAGGCATTTCCATAAGGTACGAGTGGGTATCATCAACAGAAATAAAACAGCAGAAACCGTTGGTTCACGTATTTATTTATTACAGTAACAGCAATACCAAAAAAAAAGAATTATTAAGAAACATTTCACACATTGTATTCAGATTTCTGAATTACCATATATTGAATCACTGACCTAGCTACTTGGCATCAACTTAAAAACAAAAGTGCAGTTACTTATTGTTGATATTTAGCAATAACCAGTATTGCTCTTATTACATTTACAGTTTCCTAATTTTTATTTATTATTTATGTATTATTTTGTTGAAATTGTATGTTCTAACTGTAGATATATTACAATTACTGAAGATTTAAATTTAAGATGTCTATTAATTGGTTTACAGCAAAAAGAACACGTTCGTGATTTATATTCAAGTGATTTATAAGGAAAACTGTTTAAATATGTATATTAAATTATTATGAAATTAATGAGATGTTAAATTTAAATAAATATGTCCAATAAAAGTACATTACCATTAAAATATTAATGTAATCATATTAAATTTCATAGCTCTTCAGTCATTTAAAGTGTAATTACATTTAGATCACGTTTTTGAGCACGAAATTGATTTAATTATATAAAGTTTATTGACCTTGTACACTTAATTCATATTACTCTTTAACAGGTGTTTTTGTTTATACTTTTTTAACTGTTTTTACTGTTCGCATCACTGTGAAACGTAACATACATTATTTATTTGATTTTTGAATGCCCAAAAGGAATAAATAAAACACATCAAATGTATAATAAAATCTATTTAGTAAAGCAGTATTACAAAATTTTCCAGTCAGCTAACAAATAATAATTGCAGCACATATTTGCTGTACACAGTCGTATAATTAAAATTTTAATGACATTACCGTAAATCTATACAGTAAGCGCAGGCGGCAATTTTCCTAAAGAATTCCCATTTGTGAATTATAGTAGTGTGTTAGTCGCACAGACAGCACGTTTTCTAAAAGGTACACCTAACGGAAACGGATATGTGAAAAAGGAATTCTGTGTCACTGCCTACTACGTTCATTGTACACAATATTCCTCAATGAATGATTGGAAAATAGCAACACAAAAATACAACAAAAGTTAACGGACATGTAGAAGAAAATCTACATGCATTATACTTTTCATTCATCGAGACCATACAAATAAATACACAATATACACACTTGAATTGTCTACAGTCG